TGATATTACCATCAAACTTAATCCCAAGAGAAAGGAGCAAGTGAGGTTGAATGATATTACCCAGCATCCCCCTCCCTGACGCACCTAATTGAACTGCTATTTACACAGCAAATGCCCCATAGAAATGCCGAAGAAATTTGAGATGGTGGTATCTGACCCTGAAAACCAATAGGGACAGTACACAGCTAACCAGAGTATGAGTTGGTGGAGAGCTGGGAGAAGGAGGAATGCCACACACTGAGTGGGAGGTGAGTGGAATTGGGGATTGAGAGTCCAGACCTAGAAAGCCTTTACAGGAGATTATAATCAGAGCTTCAAGTCCCCAAACCACACTGGGAAAACAGCCAAAAGCTTCAACTATGATCTCCCAAGTTAAACTTCCAACTAGTCTGCCACCTGCTGGTCTAAATGATACAGAGAGAGAAAGACAGAGAGAGAGAGAGAGAGAGAGAGAGAGAGACAGAGACAGAGACAGAGACAGAGACAGAGACAGACAGAGACAGAGACAGAATATTTTGACTGTCCTGCCTTAGCAAATTTCAAGGACACAGTATGGTTCTGTTAAGCATACTGTACTTCAGAGCTCCAGACTTCCACCTTGCAGTTGAAAGCCTGTGAACTACACCTGTCTTGAGAAACCTGTTTGCCCAGGTAGGTGGGAGCAACACCTCACTCACACTGAGCTATCTCCCTCCCCACCTGACCCAAGAAGCTTAGAGAATTCACGGGCCAAAGAAAGCCCTCTGTCCTCCAGAGCAACACTTGATAGCAGGGATAAAACTGTCTCTCAGAACTTCAAATCCTGCAGATTAGAGTGAGGTATCAGGCCTCCCCTGCTGCTTACTGTGGGGGTGGAGCCAAGGCTCATCTACAGCCTTACCTGAGGATCAGAGTGGCTGTCAGGCCAGGCCAGAGCTTCACCATGCCTCAGAGCTGCTGCCTGAGAAGAACTTGAAAGGTTTTGTCCGGGTGGAACACACAGGTAGGAGTTAGACCTGTTCTGACAAGGATTTGTTCTTAGTGACTGGAGCATGTAACTCCCCTACATTGTCCTTCCTGTCTTTTCTCTATCCTTTCTTTTCTGCCACCATTTGCCTACACAACCCTCCTTTCTATGGGAATTAAGCATGTAGCCTGTGCAAACTATGATCTGGATGTGAGAGCCCCCAGATGCTTGGCAGTCTGATTGGTTGGGAAGAGGACACTATGAGGAAGAAGACATCAGGTTTTGCCCTGCCTCCTTGGATAGTGCGTTTTCCCCCTGCAGGACCTGGCCTTGCTTCTCTCTCTTTCCCCAGTAGGGGAGCCTTCTACAAAGTTGGTGTGTGGCCAGTCTTGTACTCTGGGAAGTGGTGACCCTGAAGCTGTGCAGTTCTGTAGCCTGGCAGCCTGGCAACCTAGCATTGATGGTGCTTAGTGAGTGCCTGAGGAGAATCACATGAAACTGTCTTTGGCTTTGAATAGAGTGGAACACAGACATGTGACAATTTAGCATTTCCTGGTACTGAGATCGGCAGGTTGAAGTAGGGTAGTGGCAGGGCAGGGAATGGGGGTGAGTGTAACTCACACTCAGGGGGCCTCCTGTTCTCAGTCCAACCATTTTTGAGCCCTGCTCTGATCTCCCGTGGTCAGAGGGGAAGGGGTGATGGTATAGAGTGGCTTTAGAAAGAGCTTAGCCCAAACTCAAAATTCAAACAAGCCACACACATAATAATAACTGATGGTATATTGAAACCCCATCTGGGATGTGATCTAGCCAATACTTCTGGCACATATTCACAAACATTAATCTCTTTGCTCCTTATTGTTCTGGATGTGGAAGTTCCTGGCAGAAGCTGGGCTGAGAGTGGTTTTTCAGGAAGGACTTGACTGGTAGGCAGCCCAGGTGGAGGCCTGTGGGAGGTACACAGGATTATTCTTGGGCTGAGGGGTGCTACAAGGGAGCAGAGGAGCTGACAGGCAGCAGCATGAACGGGGGACAGGAAAGGCTGATGCTTCTCATGGCTGCTCCCATGGGTTTCTCAGCCTGGGGATTGCTCCTGTGCACCTTGGGCTCAGCACTGGGTCCTTGATACATTGGCCATTTCAATACTTCCCCTGCTTCTGGAACTTGGTGTTTGCTAACAGATTCTATCAGCTGAGGTCCAATCCCACTGGAAGTGGCCTGTGGGACTGGACCTGCAATGATCCCCACAATCTTCTTTCTAGACATGGCCTACATGTAGTATATAAACACACACACACACACACACACACACATACAGACTTTGCCCAATTGCAGAATGCAGGGCAACCACAAAGCAGCACCCCCCCGCCCCAGTCTCACCATAATTGGACCCTGAGTCAGCCACAGGCTCCCACCCTTCCTAGGGCTCAGGTTTGAGTCAGACCATGGTCCGCAGTGAGTCCCACTGTGTGGGAACAGCCAAGCTCCCCGTCTTTCCCTGGGAGATCCATCAAGCTGAAACTTCACATGGGGACAGACACATGCAGCTCCATGCCCATCTCCTTTTTGTGGGGGGAAAACACAACAAAAGAAATGTGCCTAAAGAACTATGTACAGAATCTTTTCATCTTCCTCTTATGGAGTCTTTGGATCTGAAAATCCAGTTTTTAGTATTCCCTTTGCAAATCTGCATCTTGTTCTGGCATTTCCATGTAGTTTTCTATATTTCTCTGTACTTTTTAATTGTAGGAGGATATGAGGTAGATGCCAATGGAATGAGCTGTATTCATTATGCTGTGCAACCAGTGCATCCCCATACCTCTTTCATCTTCCCAAACTGAAAATTCTACCTCCACTAGGCACAGATTCCTAATGCCCCTTTAGCCAGGTCCTGTAAGCACCATTTCTCTTTGTCTTGTCTCTGTGGCCTTGACTCCTCTAGGTACTTCATTTGAGTTGAATAAATTGACAATTATCTTTTTGCAACTGTATTTAGCGTGAAGGCTTTGAGGCTTATCCATTGATAGTGTATCTAAGAAGCTCTTAAAGCTGAATAATAATCAGTTCTGTGCATGCACTCCCTTTTGGCTCACGACTAATAGACACTTGAGTACCTCTTCTTTTGGCTATAATCAGTAGTGCTGCTATAAATGTGAATGTGAAAATATCTCAAGACCTTGGCTTTAGTTCTTTAGACCAGAAGTGGGACTTTTGGGTCACAGTAATTGTATTTTTTTGAAGGCCCTACCTTACTGTTCTTTTCTTCCATAGTGGTTGCACCATTTTATAATCCCTATGCACAAGGGTTCTAGTTTCTCCATATCATCACAATTTACTTCCTAAATTTTGTAATGGTAATCCTGAGCTTCTACATGGAAAGTTGATCATGGCCAAGTCACCTTTCCCCGGCAATTCTGGGTCATTGTGGTTATGGATTATTGGCTGATATTCAGTATGTCCTTGGTTGAGAACAGATCTCCCCTATGTTCTAGGTCTATTTGTCCCAAGCTGGCCATCAAGGCATCATCTTTTCAGCTTCTTCTGGTTCGGATGACATTCCTTTACTATCAACCCATCAGGGCATTTTTCCAGAACCTGTGCAGCTTTGCCCATACCATTTCCTGTGGTTCACTTATTGTTTTTTACTTATAGTGAGCTGAGACACACATAACCAAGTATTAGGTAAAGTAAAACTGAATAAATTCTGCAAGGGGAGGGGACAAGGAAAGGCAGGACTCACTGAGGTGTCAGAGATCGGGGCTTCTGAAAATCTCTCTTGTCTATTTTAACGCCGCTTTGTTTCTTTCCTGATACTATGGGGCTCTAGGTAGCCAAGTCAATTGAAAAGCTGACAGATGTGTCTTAGATAAGTTTGGGAAGTGGCTGCTGTTTGTTCAAACTTGATGATTTAGGATTAGGTAAACTGTGCATGGTTTGGGCTCTGAACCCCGGTCATCTGTGAGAAGGTGGTTGGGGACGCAGAGTGGGGAGTACAGGTGAAAGGACCCTAGGAGTCTATATAACCTTCTTGGTAAGGAGGGCAAGAAGGGGTGAAGGATTCAGTTCTCGTCTCCTTGTTACATTCCAATTCCCTTCCTTGGAAGAGTAATGCTGTGGCTTTCTTAGTGGCCTGAGCTCAGACCTGTCTCTGGCTCCTCCTGGATTAACGCAGATCTGCCAGCCTCATCTCCTGCTGCCACGCCCTTACCCCCCCCCCAGTTCTGTCAGAAGGACCATAAGGCCCTGGTCCTTCACATCTTCCTGATGAGGGTAACCCTAACTTTGATCTCCTTATCCCTTTCATTTATCTGATAAACTGTCATTCACCTTTAAATGTATGAAGGACATTTCCTCTGCAAAACTACCTCACTGTCTTTCTCTAACTCAGTGGGTACTAGATTCTGCTAAACCCTGTCTCAGATGGCCCTGCTCCGTTCCTTGGAATCAACTTTCCTCTCTCCAAGGCCTCATTTTCTTCTACTGTATTGATGAAGAAGGAGTACGGGGGGGGGGTGAGGGGGGGCACCCAGGGAGGAGAATCATGACATCTCACTGGGTTAGAAGTAGGACTGTGTGAAGCTGCAGCCACTTTGCAATGGTGTTGGCAAACTCTTTTTTCTTCTTCCCTTTAGCCAATCCACTGGGTGAAGGAAAATCACATTGACTAAGAAACTTGGTTTCCAGTCCCAGATCCACCTGTATTTTTCTGGGCCTCAGTTTCCCCTGCACATGGGAGGAACCTGAGCCCCTTAATTCCTAAAGTTCTCCCCACTCTGAGTTGCTAGAATTCTGCTCCTTTCCTCTTCCTGCTCTTCTGAAGACAGGAAAGGTATGTCTTCATGCATGGAGGTAGGTATTTACATGTGTGTGTGCATGCATGTGAATTGCCAGCAGGGAAAGAGAGGGAGTCTTGGGGGATAGGGTACTATTGTTATTTAAGGAAAAAATGGCAGAGATCTTACATGCCAGCTTTCTCAAAGGCTAATGGTGTGTGGGGCTGTTTAATCATTAAAGGAAACCACCTCAAAGTCCAGCCTGCCAAGAACTGACACAGATGAGAAAAGAGATGGCAGCCGTGGATCCTGAAGCCCCAGGGAAAGGAGTCAGACCTGGGACAATGCTGCGCTCAGCATCGGGCTCTGATGCGAGTCTACATGCCTACGATATCGTGGTGGTGGTCATCTACTTTGTCTTCGTCATTGTTGTGGGGATTTGGGTAAGTGAGACCTGAGCCTGGGCCTTCGAGGGAGGCAGAAGCCAACTTTTACCTTGAAATAGGACATGGAAGAGGGAAGAGGAAGCAAATTGCAGAAACACAGGGAAGAAGGGCAGAATGAGGCCCAGAGAGCTTTGCCGGAAACCACACAGTGAGCCTTGACTCCTCACCACCTGTATCTACACCTACCACTTGGGGCCTCGACCATTCCAAACCCCTGAGCCTCAGTTTCAAGCCCATATCTCTATCTCAAGATCCTAACTTGGAGGATATCCCATAGTCCTTTTAGTGTCTTGGCCAAGTTGCTATGGCTCATGTGTTCTCGGGGAAGGCCACCAGGCAAGCCCCAAGGGCCCTCTGCTCCTAATTGCTCCATGAGCTGTAGTGTTGTTGGCTGGTGACAGACTTTGAGGTCAGGAGCACCTGAGCCCAGATCTCCACCCCAACAGTCAGAACCACATGGGCCTGAGGATGCTGAAGTCTCTTAGTTTTCTCCTGTGGGCAGAGAAAGTAAGGTTGACACTGCAGAGAGTTGTGCTCACTCTGCGACAGGACATATCAATACTTGGCACAGTGCCTGGCATGCAGGTGATGGGCAATAAACCACTTCTGCCATCAGTAGACCATCAGCAGAGGCAAGCACTTTCAGACTGCTGGGAGGCAGCCTGGAGCCCAGCCCTAGCTGATTCCTTCCTGAGTTGTGCCTAGGTCAGGAGCCCTCTGTGGGCTCCCGTTCCCTTTTCTGCAAGGAGAGGTGACATCTCCTGAGCAGACAGGTACTCAGCAGCTTCTGGGAGGCAGCCAGCATGAGGAGCTCTGGGGCAAAAACTTTCTCATCCGTGAAATAATTTGTGCTGTTTGTATGTCCTCCAAGAGGATTGTAGGTGACACGGGGGAGTTCAAGCAAAAGCTCCACACATGCTAGTCACTCCCTAGTGACTAATGACTTTCCTTTCCTCCGCTTCTCCTTCAAGGATCTCTCCTATCCCAGACCTAATCGGAGACCTTTGCCTTCCAGTTATCAGAGTACTGTAACTGCTTCCAATTCGTTCTCACTACTCAGCACCAGCCCTCACCCCATGCAGAGAAAGCTCTTGGGTTCCTCACATTCTTCATTCCTCTGGGTGGGGCTCAGTGCTGGGCTCTTACCCCTATCCAGCTAAAGGAAGCCTAGAGCTGTGCAGTCAGAACAATCAGTGCTTCCATCACAGAAACCTGGCTAGGAGGAGGAGAGGGGCCAGCCCAGGGAGAGCCTGTCATTGTACCCTTAGATTGAGATTCCAAACCAGTTCCTAAGAGCAAACATGTAGGGCAGGGGGTGAACTTAAAGGGGACAATAATTACCATCAGAAACACTTAAATGGCACTTTGCCATTTGTGAAGACTTTTGACATGGTTTATCTCCTTTTATTTTTTTTTTTATCATCCTTGATCACACCAGCCCTGGGAGATGGGTATCAAGGCTCACAGAGACAAAGTGACTTTCCAAAAACTCACAGCTTAAAAGGGGTGAAGCTGCCGGCCCTGTTCCATGCCAGTCTCCATCTTCTGAGTCCCCACAGTGTCTGTACCAATAGGCAAGGGATCTCTAGCAAAAGCTAGAGAGAACCACAAGAAGTCCTGACCTCTCACCATTTCCTTTCCAGTCATCCATCCGTGCAAGCCGAGGGACTGTTGGTGGTTATTTCCTGGCAGGGAGGTCGATGAGCTGGTGGCCAGTGAGTTGACTTTCCTTTCCTCTTCCGGGGTGGGGACTCTCAGATCCCGCTCCCTAACCACCCCTCTTCTTATTCTCTCTTGCCTTGGCTAAGGACATCTCCCACTGGGGCTCCCAATGCTGGACTCCTCTCCAGCCGCAGTCACCCAGGAACCCAGTGGCCTGGCTCACACTCAGGCCTCCCCTGGGCACCTCCAAGGTAGTGGTAGGGGGGTCCAATGCCAGGCACTGGACCTACAGATATGGGTCTGGAATGTCCTTGTTCTAGAGAAGCTCAGAGTAAGCTGGGAGATAGAACAACATTGGCCCAAGTTGAGCTGGGGAACTTGGGAGAGCTTGGAAGAAGGCTCTGAGCTGGGTATATATACACGCCACCCTCACATGCAACTACGTTCACATGCATGCATGCAGATTCTACGACCACACACTCATATGCTCACATGCAGCCCCTCACACTCACATGCTCACGCTCATATAATCATACACTCATACTTGCACAGTCTCACAATTACACACCCACACGGTCACACAGCACACACATTCTCACAAGTCTCATATACCTGTGCTCTCTCTCACATCCATTCACATGTGCAAGTTCCCTCACAATCCAGTCCCACCCAGATCACATTCTCCCACACTCACATGCTCACATACTCACACTGCAACTACACACTCCTACTCACACATCATGACTCTGTTCAGCCAGTGTATCACAATTATGGCTCTGGAACTAAGTCAAGATGAGGAGAGAAGCCCAAGAGGAAGCAGACTCCTCTGTCCAGTTCAAGAGAATGCCCACGAGTCAGGCTGACGGCCCATTCCACTCAGAGAGGACAGAACTCTGGGTCCCATGGGAGGTTTGAGGAAACTACAGGCTGGTAAGCAGGAAAAGGGTGCAGAAGAAGGGGGCCTAGGTAAATGCCCCCAAACCCAGTACAGACACTTGTGGAGAAGCATGGATGCATTGCCTACCTTTCGGCAGGCCAGGCTGTGAGCTGGGCCACATGCATCAAAAATGTGGGCCAATATAAGGCCATGCTCAGAAGCAGCACTGGTGCAGGAAGCTCAGTGGAGCAGTGCTGGGGTTGTGTGTCTAGGTGTCATCCAGTCCTGGGACTGTGCCCTGAAGGGAGTGTATGTTTGGGAAACAGGTCAAGGAAGCCACTCCTGCTCAAGAGAGACCAGAGGAGTCCTTCTCCCAGGATTTTCCTCTGACTTTGTTCATGGTACCTAGCTGAGAGCCAGAAGTCCTGGGAAGAGTTGGGAACAAGAAGCCATGGGCTGGTGGGTGAGGTGGGCATGTCTCACTGCTCCAGGGGGAAGCGAGCCTCAAGCTCTCAGCTGTGGTGAGTGCTTCATCCAGCGCTGCCTGAGGGTGTGGGAGTGAAGGAGGGAGTGAGGGCATGAAGGTGCGTGTATATGTTCAAGGTGGTGTGCGTGCATGAGTGTGCGCGGGTGTGAGTGCATATATGAACAGGTGCATGGAAGTACTTGCATGCATGCGGCTATGAATGCATATGTAATGGGGCCGGGGGCCCCTAAGGTTGCCATTAGGATCTGCACAAAGACTGGTGTAATTTGGGAAGATTACCACTCCATGCTCAGATGGATATTAAGTATATCTAGCATATGGAAAGTCTCATACAATGCCCAATAAATGTCAGTTCCCTGCTTCCTCCTCACTGCTTGTGGTCCTGATTTCCAGATTGATTCACATTAACTTTGGCCCCTGACCTATGATCCCCACTGTGCCTTGCAGATTGGAGCATCTCTGATGTCCAGTAATGTGGGCAGCGGCTTGTTCATCGGTCTGGCGGGGACAGGGGCTGCCGGAGGCCTGGCTGTAGGAGGCTTCGAGTGGAATGTAAGAAAACAGACCTAGCTGCCCCTGGATAAGGAGGAAGGACCTGAACCCAGCCCTTTCCCTGGCCTCAGTGTTGAGAGAAACTTTAGCAGTTCTTGGGAGGCTGGCTGCATGGTGAATAGAGAACCCATTTAAGAAATGAGGAAAACAAGGCCTAGAGGAGCCAGACTCACCTGAAGTCAGCGAGTAGGCCAGGGATCAAGTTCCAGGTTCTCTACCTCGCTGCTCAGGGCTATTCCACAGTAAGAGGTTACTCCTCCACTGCCATCTACAACAATCTGGATGCCTTCTTCTCCCTGCTCTCCCAGGCATCCTGTCTGCTCTTGGCCCTAGGCTGGATCTTTGTTCCAGTGTACATCGCAGCTGGCGTGGTCACAATGCCGCAGTACCTAAAGAAGCGATTTGGAGGCCAGAGGATACAGGTGTACATGTCTGTCCTGTCTCTCATCCTCTACATCTTCACCAAGATATCGGTGAGTACCACACTCCAAGGTGGCTAGCGTATCAAAGGCTTAATACTGAGAGGAAGCTGACAATCACAGATTGGATAGAAGAAGGAAGGAAGGGAGGGAGGGAGGGAGGGATGGAGGGAAGGAGGGAGGGAGGGACGGACGGACGGACAGAGGGAAGGAAGGGAGGGAGGGAGGGAAGGAGGGAGAAAGGAAGGGAAAGAGGGAGGAAGGAAGGAAGGAAAGGAGGAAGAAGGGAGGAGGAAGAATGATGAATGGAGGGAGAGAAATAAAAGAAGGATAGAAGAAAGGAGGCCCAGATCTACCTGCTTTCAATGCATGCAATGGGGAAGTCAAAAATTAGTGCTAGGCATTTAAGTGAACAACGTCCCTATGTTCTAAGTACTCTTGGTCCCGAGTTTCTTCATTCCCTTATATTTTTATTGATTCCTTTTCAGCAGCTGTTCCTTAACTGTTTAGAATGGTAATGTTACTGATAATGTGATTTCAGATTGGGGAAGGGCTTCACTCTGAAGCCCTCTAAGTCCTCTGCCATATGGGTCAGCTGTGGGCTCAGGGAGTGGCTGGCTGAGCCTGTGTGTGACAGGAAGCAACTTGCTAAGTTCCTACTCTCAACTCCCAACTTTCTGCTTCTCCACCCTAGCGTTACCTTCACCTCCTCAGTCTTCAACTTTATTTCTCATCATGCCTTCGTAGATAGCTTATGGGTACTGGTTTTCTTAGCTTCAGAGTATTCTTTAAATATGTGTTAAAGTATTAGTGGCCCTTTAGCATCTGTAGGGTCGAGTACTCCTCAGTAGGGTACTTCAGGCTCCGAGTCTTTGTGTGATGAAGGCTGAGGGCACCTGGTTTGTCAAGCAGGTAAGTGAGGCACCTACAGCAGCCATGCTGAGGACCTGGGGTGGCCTGGATGTATGGGTCCTGGCTCTTTGCAGACTGACATCTTCTCTGGAGCCCTCTTCATCCAAATGGCCTTGGGATGGAACCTCTATCTCTCCACAGTTATCCTGCTGCTCGTGACAGCCATCTATACCATCACAGGTAAGGCAGACAGAAGATTGCTTTGGGATGGAGAGTCAGAGAGAAATAGAAAGAGAACTACTGACTGGAATAGACATAGAGGGAAAGACTGAAGGACAAAAGCAGAAAAAAGGACATAGAGACACAGATCCTGAGAAAGAAGAAGGGACTGAAAGAGAGAGGTGCAAAAATAGAAAAACACAAAGGAACAAATCAAAAGACACAGTGAGAGAGAAGAGGAGGTTGGAACAGAGAAATGGGGGGACAGAGGCAGGCATAGGCAAGGATAGAGAGATGCTAGGAGGTGTGACCAGCCACACCAGGGAGAATGGCAGGGGAGAGATCAGGGAACTGTTCTTGGGATTAGAACCACCATGCACCACACTGGCCAGGGCTACATACCCAGGCTTTCCTACTCAAAGGAGCTCACACAAAGCTGAGAACCGGGGAAAATAGCCCAGGACAGACTTGCTTACGGCTATGTTGGATTTGAAAGATGGGAGTAATTAGATAGGTCTGAGAAGGGAACCGAAGAGAACATTCCTGGTGGAGCTCACAGCACAGAGTGGACTTGAGCTATCACTAGCAACAAGCTTTGACACCATGGCTCTGGGGCAGAAGCTCTAGGAACAGAACACTACATCTGAGCAAACCAGATGGTGACAGCATCTACTTGCCCAGAGTGGGCTAGAGTATGATAAGGCCAGTGACACAGACCACTACTAAGAAGGCTGTGTGTCTTCTCTGGTCTCCCCAGAATGGCCAAATACAAGGTAGGCTGCTAGAAAGGACCCCTCATTGATGCTGACCGGTGTGTCTTCTCCTTGAGTCTTTAGGAGGCCTCACGGCAGTGATCTACACAGACACTCTGCAGACAGTGATTATGGTGGGTGGAGCCCTGGTCCTCATGTTTCTGGGTAAGAAAGAGATCTAAGTTTATCTCAGCCTCACCCCTAAATTACTCTCTGATCTGTCTTCACCACCTTCATGGCATGCCTGGAACTTTCTAGAGCACAGAGCCATGTCCCTTCTCTGGCCAGGATTCCGAGAAGTAGAGATTTCTCTACTCCTAACCCTGGGTCTTAAGCTTAAGCTCCCTCGCCCTTCCTCATTCCCGGTCTTCACATCAGTTCCCCGCAGAGCCCTCATGGGACTTGGGGCAGGTAGCACAAGCTCAGGGGTTTTTCTCTCACTGTGTCTTTCCCACAGGCTTTCAGGAAGTGGGCTGGTACCATGGCTTACAGCAGCAATACAACCAGGCCATCCCTAATGCCACAGTCCCCAACACCACGTGTCACCTCCCCAGGCCTGATGCCTTCCACATGCTCCGGGACCCTGTGAATGGGGATATCCCTTGGCCTGGTCTCATTTTTGGCCTGACAGTGCTGGCCACTTGGTGTTGGTGTACAGACCAGGTAATGCTCCTAGGTAGGCTTGTCTTGGCACACCAGAAAGTAGAGTGGTTGTCTGGATATGCCGAAATCTGGACTTAATTTAAGTTTATCGTGATCCTATCTCAACTGAGCAGCCACCTCCACCACTACCATTTCAGGTCATTGTGCAGAGGTCTCTCTCTGCCAAGAATCTATCGCATGCAAAGGGAGGCTCAGTGCTGGGGGGCTACCTGAAGATCCTCCCCATGTTCTTCATAGTTATGCCTGGCATGATCAGCAGGGCCTTGTACCCAGGTAAAGTATGGTCTTACTCTTTGGGCACAGGGATGCAGGCCTTGTGAAGGGTTTCCAGAGAAGGTGTTTAGGAGGCAAGATGGATCAGAACAGGGACCAGCAAGCCTGTACCTTAAGATCACATAAGAACAGCTAGACATGTCTGTGGAGATGGAAGGATTGCAGTTCCAGGTCACACCAGACAAAATGATGATGAAAGATCTCAAAATACTATTTGATCTGGTGTTGTTATCCAAGTTACTTGGTAGGTGAAAATAGGGAGGAGTGTAGTTTGAGGTCATGCCCAGGCAAAAAGATAGTAAGACCCTCTCCCAGAAAACAGTCTAGATATGATGGGCCATGTCTACAATCCTAGCTACCCAGGAAGTCTAGATCAGCCCAGGAAAATAGTCCCAAGGCCTACCTGAAAAGTTAAAGCATAAAGAAAAGCTCAAGGTATGGCTCAAGTGGTAGAGTGCCTGCCTGCCAACCATAAGGCCCTGAGTGCAAAACCCCAGTTCTATAGGAAGGAAGGAAGGAAGGAAGGAAGGAAGGAAGGAAGGAAAGAAGGAAGGAAGGAAGGGAAAAGAAGGGAGGGAGGAGAAGAAGGGGAGGGAGGGAGGGAGGGAGGGAGGAAGTTATATAAATAAGACATTTCTGGCCAAACATTTAAAAACTATTGAAGTAGAAAACAAGTTGTATTTGAATACCCTTTTGAAATTCTTTTATCACTTCTTTATATGGAAAAAATAAGACTTTTTTACCCTGTCTGAGGATATTTATCTTTACCAAGATCCAAGTCCTAAAACCCCAGAGAATCCATCAAGCTTTGAGGTGTGGTACATGAGCAAGAAATTTGCAAGAGCTCTCGCCCCTTGACCTTCTAAACTGTGTCAAGACTCTCCAGTGAACACTTTCCTAAGTGTCAGAAAGCAAATGTCAGCCTAGTCTTAGCAGGCACAGGATCATGCAGCTCCAACTGCCTTCCCTTTTCTTGTAGATGAAGTGGGCTGTGTGGACCCTGACGTCTGCCAAACAGTCTGTGGGACCCGAGTGGGATGCTCCAACATTGCTTACCCCAAGCTGGTCATGGCTCTCATGCCTGTGGGTAAGTTCCGCTTTTCACTTCACCTGTCTGCCTCCTCTCATCCCTGACCCAAGAGGGATTGCAATACAAAGAGATGGGAAGGGGGAAGAGAAAGACAACTTCTGTATCCCCCCCCCCACACACAGAGTCACGCTCCCACAAGCATTTGTATGTCCTGTGTCGGTGATGCAGGGATAAGAGGCAGGTCCCTCATCCCAGGTTTATGCATCCTTTTAGATTCATGTAGAGAACAGTAGAAAGTCACCCATGTAGCAACCTGATGGGGACTAAGCGAGCTCCAAGTAGGCACAGTCTGAGGATTGTCAGGAAGAGAAGAAGTGGAGTTGAGTCCCAAGGAACATCTTGGGCAGAGCAAAGGGTCATGGAAAACACTTTTGCAGAGAGATGTTGTGTGTGCAAATCCTCAGGGAAAGGATACCACATGGTGTGAGCTGAGAGAAGCCAAGGGCATGCTCAGCAGCAAAGTGGAACATCTCCATGCTGGAAAACAAGCAATGGAGAGCAGTGGGCATGTTCAAACCAGAGCATTGGTGATTGGCTTTGCACTTTGGAAGAACACGGAGGTTAGTGAGGAAAAGCCTTGGGGTGAGGGCAAGGAGATACAATGGTAAATGGCATTAGTGACATGACCAAGCCTGTAGCTTTAGAATTGGAAAGAAGGCATTTAAAGCTATTTGTGAGGTTGCACTGGAAGGAGCCGATAACTGAACGCATTTGAGGGGTCAGAAAGATCACCTACGTGCACACACTATGTGAAGTAGGTAAGGAAACTTGAGGCTCAGGGAGTATAGAGGAGTTACTTAAGTCCACAAGGTAAGGCAAAGGCAGAGCCGGGTCTAGTTTTCTGAGTTTTCAGCTTCCTTACCTGGACTGAACAGGAATTTCCCCAATGCCTTCTTCATTCTATCCTCATCCCAAACTTCTGGCTCTGTATGCTGCTTCTGTGGTTTCTACGGTCTGAGAAGGACCCTAACTACTGTTCACTCAGGCCTTGTGTCTCCCTAGGTCTACGGGGCCTGATGATCGCCGTGATCATGGCGGCTCTCATGAGCTCCCTCACCTCCATCTTCAACAGCAGCAGCACCTTGTTTGCCATCGACATTTGGCATCGCTTCCGCAAGAGAGCGACAGAGCAGGAGCTGATGGTGGTGGGCAGGTGTGTTGGCCATCCTTCCATCCTCCAGAGTGAACCTTCCCTGTAGGGCCCTTACCTCTGTCTTGGGTTCCCACAGGCAGCCAGGTGTGGGCTCCAGCTTGGCAGTCAGAGCATCAGGTCATTCTACAAATGACTTTCTTTATGACCCTCACCTCCAGACCACTTCCTCTCAGAATGGATGAATAGGGGAATGGGAGATGACACAGTATGGGGTAAAAATGTGTAGAAGAATGTCAGCTTATAGCTTATTACAATGGACTTTTGGATCAGCTGGGGAATTTTACTTATCTAGTCCACCCATGTGCCACACCCTTGTGGTGGGAACACAGGATGGGTCATGTGCCCTTTGCCCAGGATTTTGCCAGCACCTGAGAGAAAGGTGAAAACATGATGGGGATCTGTTTTTATTTTTAAATAAGTTTTTTTATTGTGAACATACTATACAGAGGGGTTACAGTTACATGAGCAAGGTAATGAGTACACTTTTTTATCCAGCATTGTTGCCTCCTCCTTTGATTTTCCCCATACGATCCTGTCCCCCTAACTCCTCAACCACACCCCCTAACCCCACCTAAATTGTAAAGTTTGTTTTTCACCATAGCGTCTTGTACATCTCATTGCTGCAATGGGTCCACCTGTATCCCTATTTAAACATTTTGTTTTTTCCCTTCCCCTCCCCAAATTATACCAATATCAAATACAGTGAAAACAGTGGTTATACCATGGGGGAGGGACATACAAAGCAACAAAAAAAAAATCACATGGTACCTTATAAATACATTAGAAACAATAGCAGGGGATGTGTTTTAAAGAAAGTCTTCTCCCAGTGATGCAGAGCCTTGAACACAAAGAAGTAGAATTTGAACGTTATCTTATGCTTTTAAAAGCACAATGTGATAGATACCTTTTCTTATTCTCCATAGGCCAGGGTTTTTAGATTATATAGGATTTAAGGGTTAATGTGTCCTTTCTGAAATCTCTACTTCATAATTTAAGCCCACCCCTTACTTTCGTCTCTTGCCTGAAGGCCATATTCTCCCTCTTTTTATCGCCCTGATGTGTACTCAGTGTTCCTTCCGCCTGAGTGCCTTCTGCATTCATGAACTTCTGTAGCCTGTGCTCTGGCAGAGGAAGGGCTCATCACTGGATATGAGTAGAACAAGGATGGGGAGATTAGGGAGATGACTGTCACTTGGTTAAGCCCGAGAGAAGGAAAATGGGAGGGGAAAAAAGAGAGAGGAGAGGACAAGAACTTCCAAAAGAAGGACCCCTTATTTCTGCACACCGTCTGCTTGACGTTGCTGCAATTATTTAAATCAATTGGTGGGATTGTGGCGTCCTCTGCTGGATAGCTGTGTTATAGCACCCAGCACATCCAAGACAAGTTTTTCGTGAATTTGTTCATTCTGCACATTTATAAAATCATACATCAAGAGTGTCTTGCAGACTTAGTTTTGAGTGAGGACCAGCTGAAGGGGACTCTGGAGACGAGGTGGAGACACTGCTTAAACTCAGTGCCAATGTAAGGCTAGAACCATTCCCTAGAAAGGAGTTGTCTTGAGCAGGGCTGGGAGGCAGAAGTGGAAAGAGATCCTAGACAGTGTCCAGAGATCACTCAATGGCTGGTTGGTGAATGGATGGAAGGTGCTGGTTATCCCTTGAAAAATAGTTAGGAAACACAATCTTGCAGTCATCCATTATATAAACATAAGCATTTTAAAATTTTAATTCTGGAATTCTGATTTCTAGGGTCTTTTAGCAGCCTGAAATTTCTACCTCTTAGTGTCTGAGATTTCTAATCCAGTGGCTATGCACCCCTCTTTTCTTCCTTCCTGGTTTTTCTGCATGACCTTCATTCTACCCTGCACCAAGCCTAGCACAGTGAGCCTTACAGTGCTTCACGCTGTCCCCATAGGGTGTTTATCGTGGTCCTGGTTGTCATCAGCATCCTCTGGATCCCCATCATCCAGAGCTCCAACAGTGGGCAGCTCTTCGACTACATCCAGGCTGTCACCAGCTACCTGGCCCCTCCCATCACCGCCCTCTTCCTGCTGGCCATCTTCTGCAAGAGGGTCACAGAACCTGTGAGTGCCTGGTTCTCCTCCTCTCTCCCTGTACAGCAGGGACACTGGAGTTGATGATCTGTGGGTCATCTGGTTTGAGGGACCTTGGGCAAGCCTAGAGCTTCCCTAAGCTTCCAGTCTGTAACTACTGTCATCTGATCTAAATTCATCCTTTTCTTAACAAATGTTTATCAATCCCTTTATGGCAACTGCGGGGATGTGGTGGCTAAGAAGGTTCATGCAGGTCATCATTAATGAGCAAGCAGAGAGGAGAGATGATTAAATAAGCCATCATCTGTTGGGAGAGTACAGAGCACATAGCTTTGGGAATCCAGGAAGGAGAGTAGGGAAGACTTCCTGGAGGAAATGACATCTGGTCTGAGATTTGAAGGATTAATGGGAAGGAGAAAGTGTGCTGGACAGAAGGAATGGTGTGTGGAAATTCTGGACACTTTGAGGATCTCTAGGCTCTGTCCCACCTCTAACATTATATTGTTCTGTATAAGCAAAGTCATACCATGGCAATGGGGGTGATGATGTGTAAACTTACAAGGTTGCTAAATACCCATCTTTTGTGTAACTGCATTAAAACCTAGCAGAAATCTTGGAGGAAGCCAGAGATATCAGAACTGGACCCAGGGTTACTCCCCAGAGTAGGAGGAAGAGCCAGGCCTAAATCAGCTGGATGAACTGTAAGGGGTATTGTAGACATGCCTTCACACACAAATGTGATGGCTCAAGGTCACCCCAAAGGACATCATGGTGGTGTGGTTCTTTGAGGCACCACCCAAGAGAGGTGTCTACTGTTTGCAGAGGTCTGAACTTGCTGATAATTATGACACATAAAAGGACCCAGATGAATTCTGAATGTTACTACTTATTTTAGAGTTTTAAAGCCAGGCTCAATATCTCACTTTTAAAATATAATTATCTGATCTATTTATGCCAGGAATAGGTAAAGGTTAGGGATAAATGGAACTATAACAAATAGAAGATCTCATTTCTTCTTTCTTTTCTTTTCTTTTTTAGAAGAGAAAGCCTATATTCTGATTTCTGACCTACTATAGAAAGCTGGAAAGAGGATCCTAGCATGTCTTGCTTATTTCGAAATTGTATCTCTTTTATCTAGATGTTAAATACTTACTGCTTGTATTTATCCATTTCCTATTTCATTGCATGTAAAAAAAAACCACTCCAACCTAGCCAGATTGAAGCATTGGGTAGTCACTCAATATAGAGCCAGAATTTCAATCCTAGTGAAGTTCTGAAACCCACACCCTTTCAGTGCACAACTCTACCTGTCCTTTAAGTCAAACACAGACTATATTAATGAGGAGCACCCAAAGATAGACTTGCTGAACAGTGTCATAAGCCCGTGGGAGGGAAACTTAGGGACAGAGCATCCTTTAGCTTCCTAGGATTTTCCCATCTTGCGTATCACTCCTGCTTCTGTCTACCCTCTCTCTATAGGGAGCTTTCTGGGGCCTCATGTTTGGTCTGGCAGCTGGAGTTCTGCGCATGATCCTGGAGTTCTCATACCCGGCGCCAGCCTGTGGGGAGGTAGACAAGAGGCCAGCCATAGTGAAGGATTTTCACTACCTGTACTTCGCCCTCTTCCTCTGTGGGCTCACTGCCATGGTCATTGTCACCATCAGCCTCTTTACAACACCCATCCCTGAAGAAAAGGCAAGTGGTTTGCTCATGCCTGGAATCCACCTCTGGGTCTTACCTTGCTGGGCTATCCTTTCTGTGGATGCTACATGACTGGCCTTGGGAGGGGAAGCTAATTGGGCCATGATTCTCAAGTGAAAGGAAACTCTTACATGGGTGAGGCATATGGCTTAGGTAGTATAGTTCCTGTCTAGCAAGCGTCAGATTCTGAGTTTAAACACCAACGCCACTAAAAGAAAGAAAGAAAGAAAAAAGGAACTCACTCAAAAATTACTCAGCGAGTTCCTATTGCATGTCTGTGCTGGGGTTACAGAAGATGAATGGTTCATGCTAGTAACTGTCTACCACAAAGACATGTGTCGATACACACTTATTATACGAAGAGGAAATGCAGAGGACCAGGTCCAAGGGGGGAGGGACCAGGCACAGCAGGGTGGGCAGTTTCTATGTGGGACCCAAATGTAGATGCACCAACAAGATCATTCTGAGTTGGACCTTGGAAGAGTAGGGACATTTTTAAAATGATAAATGAGAAAAGAAAGAGAGAATTTACTACATGAAGATCAAACATACTTCCCTCATGCTTATTGAATTCCAACTCCTTGAACACTGACTTACAGATGCATGTGCATTTTTCTCTTTTTCTGCCTCTCTCTCCATATTCCACCCCACCCCTGTCCACTAACTCTCTCACCAGCAAGCACCTCCAGCCCTGGGAAGGCCACCACCACCACCAAGGAAGAAACCAGAGGCTTCTTCCTCTCCCACACCTGGCTCCTTCAGTCACTCATCAGCATCCATAAAGATTCTTTCCTGGACTAAGGATGTAGCTCAGTGGTTGAGCACTTGCCTAATATGCATGACACCTTGAATCTGTATCTATTCACTAAGAAAAAGAAAAAAGACTTCCTTTCTACCCATTAGCTCAAGCACTAAGTATTTCTTGCTTCACTTTTCCAACAGCCTCCAGACTAGACCTGTTTAATCTACCCTGAGAAGTCTGGAAAAATTCACTTCAGTCTGTAGTGATTCTCCATGGCCTATAAGAAGCTTTGTTTTTGTTGTTGTTTTCATATCAGTTCCTCTGTCTAAATTTAAAAGGTTTTCATGAGGAGGCAGCTACATCTCTATCCAGCCTCATTCTGTGAGTTCCCAGGTCTCTTTTCCAGCATCCAGCACAGATCTGGTGGAGATAGGTACTCAGGAAAAGTTCATATTAGAAGAAAATGGCAGACAGACAAGGACAAGATCTGATGCCTGACTCCCAAGCCCCAGCCTTGCTCCTCGCTGCAGCTCTGATGGCCTCCTGTGAATGAGCCACTATTTCTATGTCCAAACATTCTCCAGAGACACTGACACCAGCCAGCATTTCTTCTCCCTCCAGCTTGCTCGCCTGACCTGGTGGACACGGAAATACCCCACATCTGAGCTGGAGAAAGAGGACTGTGTGAGCAAGGAGAACACCCCAGAGTTGGCAGAAAGACCATCTAGGGTGAGCTCTGAAGCAGGAGGAGAGGAAAAGAGCTCTAGTCAGGACCAGGAGCAGCGTGGAGGTAAGCTGAGAGTATGCCTGAGAGAAGGGTTCACAGAGGAGCAATGAGGACAGACCCAGTGTAGGCCTCCCAAGGTTTCATGTTGGGGTGATGTTGGATAGAGGTGTCTCCAGAAACCCAACGAAAGCCACCCTCCCTCCACTTCTACATGACTGTTGAGTTGTTTGATAAGACAGTTGAGTAAAGCGGATGAGAACCAAAGTACAGCCTTCAGAAGTGGTAAAGTATAAGCTGGGCACTGGCACTCATGCCCGTAATCCTAACTATACTGGGGGCTGAGATCCAAGGTTTGTAGTTCAAAGCTAGCCTGGATGGAAAAGTAGTCTGTGAGACTCTTATCACCAATAAGCCAGCCAAAACCCAGAAATGGAAGTGTGGCTCAAATAGTAGAGTAACAGACTTAAGCCAATGAGAGTGCAAGACCCGGAGTTCAAGCCCTATTATAGGTGCACATGTGGCATGCTGCATGCACGTGCATGCATGCACACACACAAATACATGCACACATTAACTAATAAAGCATAAGTAGGAAGTACACTTCCTCACACTGAGCCTAGCATTAGACAGAGTGCATTAGACAGAATTCTAACCAGACCATCAGACCCCACCAACAGCACCACCTCTAAACGACAGTGGGGCTGAGCCCAACAGGCACTTTTTGCCTCTTCCCCTTCTCAAACCTATCCATGGGAAAAATTTCGTCACTTGGCTGGATTGAATGAACCTATCACAGAAAAATCAAAGTACATCACATTTACTGAGTTCCCACCACATGGAAACATCAGAAATAGCAAAGAAACATGGGCCCTGAGTCCCCACTGCCACTTCATTTATTCTAAGAGGCTTAACAAATCTAACTACAGTCACACAGAAGCATGATTATCCCTCATGTTTCCACACACTGCTCTAAAGCAATGACAGTTCCTCTGTGGGTGTCCTTGAGCTGCTGATGGTCATGTTCAGTGTGCATCTTGGAGGCTCTTAAATGTGTTAGCATAGAACATAAACTAAACTTTAGGACCTAATGGTGCCCCTGTATACATAATGAAGCCATAATTTCCTGTCATGAGATTAAACACCAACATGCAGATATTCAAATGACAAAGTGACATTATGAGATTTCTCAATTGTTTCTTTCTGGGCGGGGGGGGAGGGAGTAAGTCTAAATGGTGGTATCCATTTGCAACTTGAAAACCCAAGTCAATTTCTCTTGTCCTTCTGAATTGGAAAAGTCAATGAAATTCAAGTCTTGAGTTTGTTTCCTGTCTCAGAGACGATTTGTGTGCCTGGATAGTTGCACCCAGTGCTTGGCATCAAGGTTGGCAAAGCTCTATTAGGCCTCAAAAAAAAAGTTCTCTACCAGCCCTGGGATGACCAGCTTTCTATAACTTCAGTGAATTAAAAACACAGACAAGGCAGTGGCAGTGGCTTGGTGGCTCAAGTGGTAGAGCACTCACCTTGAGCTGAAGAGCTGAAGGACAGTTTCCAGACCCAGAGTTCAAGCCCCATGACCAACACACAAAAAAGAACATAGACAAGAGAATCTTAGCATTGTTTGCAGGATTTTCTACTGCTCAGTTCAGCCTTGCTGGATCCTATGTTGTTCTTGAGGCCTGAGCAGGCTACCACACTTCTAGACAGCCACTAGCCTATGAATGACATTATAACCTCCAGAATTTCATCAAGGTGTGAGGCTCAGAGCTTCAGTAAGGTCTATGGATAAGAAGCTGTCTATACTTCCATGGTCTCACACATGTGGCCTTACTCCAGAAAGCACTGTCCCAAAGACCAAAGTCCCCTCCCTGGCTCTTATCAGTTGTTCAAGCTTATTTGGCAACCTATTCAAGATGTATGGCTCTTGGAGCAGATGCTGGCATCTCAAAATTACTTCTTCCACTTAAATTGCAGGGATTGGGTCCAGGCCTCTAATGTTGATGGGCTGGAAAGACCAGCCTGGGATCATAAGCTCTGTGTAGGTGAGACAGTCATCAAGGCAGGGAGGATCAAGGAAAGAAGGAAGCTGGAAAGAAACAGGAGGAAAGAGGGACTGCCATGGCTACACTCCAGAACTGGACAGACTTATGCAGTGACACAAACAAACCTACTTCCTGCTGGTCTTCATGCCCAGGATAGAGCCACCCTGGGAGCAGCAGAAAGGAAACTGCTGCTTATAGATGGCTGCTCACCAAAGAGGTAAAGAGGGCATCTGATTAAACAAGCTGTCAGATGACAGATATCCCCGCCCCTCCCAATCACTTCCAAGAAGGACAGAGATGCCAGCTCTTCTACAAAGGCTCCTTCCTGCTGAAAGAAACATCAGGAACAGGGAAGAAGTAGCCCCCTTAAAGGGGAGCAGGCAGGTGTAGGTCATACAGTAGAAATTTGAATGTTTAAAGTTTTTTAAAGTTAAAATAGAGTAAACCTGAGAGAAGTACATACATTCCAGATCTAATGTTTAGACGATAATGAGTTACTGCATTCCACTTCATAACTACTTAGGTGATGTGGGCTCTGCAGGTATGTGACTTTAAGCAGGCCTCTCCCTTTATTCCTCCTTCCTTCCTTCCTTCCTTCCTTCTTCTTTTTGTGCCAGGTTTGGCACTTGAACTCAGGAGCATTCACCTTCACTTAGCTTTTTCCTTCAAGGCTAGAGCACTACCACATGAGCCACGCCTCTACTTCTGGCTTTTTGGTGGTTAATTGTACCTAAGAGTCTCATAGACATTTCTGCCAGGGCTAGCTTTGAATCATGATCCTCAAATCTTGGCCTACTCAGTAGCTAGGATTACAAGTATGAGCCACCAGTGCCCAGCTGGTTCCTCCATTTTCTGAGCCATTTTTTGTCCTCCACAATGGGGGAGCCAAGTCACATGGGCACTAAAACTCTTGGACTCTCTGATGCTCTGGTATGCTAAACTCATCAGGTACCATGTCTCAAAGCACCATGTTCCCAAGCCATTTGATAACAAAGCACTCTGTCCCAGGGATGTCCTTCCAGTCTCCATGAATGGCTTTTTAAAAAAATATATTAATTTTGGGGGGCTGGGAAGGTGGCTCAGTGGCAGAGCGCTTGCCTTGCACTTATGAGGCCCTGGGGTTTGATTCACCACATAAGCAAAAAGAAAAAAGCCAGAGGTGGCGCTGTGGCTCAAGTGGTAGAGTGCTAGCCTTGAGCTGAAAAGCTGAGGGACAGCGCCCAGGCCCAGAGTTCAGGCCCCACAACCGGACCCAAATAAAAAAAATATTAATTTTATACTTACTGTGCTATCTGCTAACTTTAAACACTGCAAACAGTTACTTCCTATATTACTACTTGAAACTTTGCTTTTGAGAATTGTGCTCCTTTCACCCTCAGATCAGACCTTCTGCCCACCCTCAGGAGCTTTGTTTGCATACGACCTCACATTCATCTGAAGCTCTAGCTGGCCCCAGGGCCCAGTTCCTGGCCTCCAGCACAGGGCCCTGCCCCATAGCAGGGGCAATCATCCAGTCAAATGCTTCCCCCTTCCCAAGGGAGAAAAAGATCCCTCTGTGTGTCCTCATTCTTGACTTGTGCTCTGAATTGAGATAATGGTCATGTATTCCACCTTCACACACCATCTGCCTGAAGCAAGAAACTTCTGCCATGTTGTTAGTTTGGATTCTATGGCCACCCTCAGAATGCAGCCTGAAGTCCTCTGCTGCGCACCCAGCCTGTGGTCCTGCACAAAGCGCCCCCCTCCATCTTTATGTGTACTTCACCTCTTTCATCATCTTCCCCCCGTCTCACTCCTTTTCCATTCTTATCTTTCTCCCCAACTCACCCTCCCCTTCCCCTTCTGCCTTTGTCCCCCAGCCCCATGCAGATCCTGGGGAAGGCAGCTCTGGGGCTGGCTCTGTGGGCTCTCTGGAACCCCACCACAGACCCAGAGCTCAGCAGAAAAGGAGGAACTAGAGAAGAAGCTCACCAGCATTGAGGAGGAGCCGCTCTGGAGAAGTGTCTGCAACATCAATGCCATCCTCTTGCTGGCGGTCGACATCTTTCTTTGGGGTTATTTTGCTTAACTTCATAGACCTGGCCTCAGCTCAGGCTGATTACACAACCCAAACCCTACCAACCACCAAGACAGGCTCTCCTCCTTACCTTGCTATCTAACCTGGAAACTACCGAGGTCAAAAATGTCAGATCCCCTGAGGAGCATCTAACCCAGCATGCCTAACACGTGGAGAAATGGAGGTCCAGAGAGGGCACTAAGTTTTCCCTCGCACCACACAACATCATTCACATTGGGTTTTTCAACCTTGGCTATTATATTGTCTTACATTCTTACCTCCAAAACATTATTTCCACAGTCTTGGTGAGTCTGCTCAAGAATCTACTCTGTATGTGTGTCTTCAGATTAAAATAAAAAACAAGTAATAAGATTTTGTGAAATTCCAAGTGTATCTGTGCTCTCCTATTTCCCTTGTCCTCTTTTCCCTTCTCATTCTCCTACCTCTCTCTGTATGCATATCAACTCCAGAAATCTATTGTCAATGAGGGCCTATAAGTTTCATTGACAACTCATTGGATCCAAGGTGTGAGTGATGGAATTTGTGATGGCAGATAGTGTTTGGAGAGGGAGCATTTGGACCAGGGATTCTCCTGGGCACTAATTAAATTCCACTTCTTCCTATTCTCCAACCCAACATGCACAACATTTGCATGGCCTCAACCTTAGATTCCAGTTGGAGAGAAAATACTTGTTGAAAGCAAGAGGAACCAAGATATTCTTCTATGCTTGTGGAAGGCCCTTCAAGGGAGGCACTGGTAGCCTAGGAGACGCTTCACAAAGGCTTTTGCCCCTGTCTTTGCTGCCACAAATCCATGTGCACCCGAAGATGCTTTAATGGCTTGAGTGACTGACTCCATGAAGCAAAGGTGCCCCAAACTAGGTCAAGGTCTCACACTATTCTGTAATATCATCTCCCTCCTGCATGGTGTCCTCCAAGGAGGCACAGTTACCAACAACCATAACCAAAGTGACCTCGTACCCAGTACTATCAAGTACCAATTTGATACTGCTGAATTAATAAATTCTCCCAAGCCCTGTGGACTTCGCACGGACTCTTCCAAAGGGATTTGAATCAATAGAGAAATATCTGGAGTGAGCCCAATGATAAAGACCCAGGTAAGGATGGTTTTCCCCTTCTCCTTCCCAAATACATGCATAGGCTACTCCTGCTCTTCTCTGATCCTCGTTAACCCTCATAGCCTTTGATCATCTTTGCTAACTACTTGCTCATCGTGACTTCAGGCAGAATATATTCTATTCCTCTAGGCACAGACACAGCTCTGTCTCTGAATACTGCCTGTTGTTGCTGCTACCTCCAAATTTTGGGTTCCATTGACTTTTAGGTCTCACCTGTGTCTCACCTCAATTGTCTACTTGGCCCAGAACTCAGCTTCTCTCCCCCCCCCCCACCGGCCCACCCACTTCCCCCTCCCCCCCCTACCAAACTATGTGTACAGCCATTTGTCGGTCACAGACTGTAATGAAGGGTTGAAAACACAGAAGCATGAGCTAAGATTGAATATAGTCATTCTACTTCTAAGTAGTCCTCAGTAGCCTGCTATAAGTATTCTTTACGTGTTTTTCCTCTTTCTCCAGCTTGGTGGGGGCTTTCACCCTCCTGCAGCACTGTAGATTTTCTCTGCCTCCTTATTTCTCTACTTCTGGACCTTGTACTCAGGTGCCCTTATATCATGTGGAGTCTCTTCTGGGTCTCCACACCTACCTCACTGACCCAAAGGTTCATGAGCATGCTGCTGAATAGAGTAGGATGGCAGGAAGGACAGCCATCTCCTTCTTTATCCTTTTTGTCTGGAGCATTCCTAGTAATCCTCACATTTCATCTCTTTTGTCCCAAGAGAGACCGTAGTGTCCCAGGCATGCAGCTCAGAGTAGATGAGTTTCCAACACCCAACATACCATCTCATGTTCCCCTGACTACCTTCTAAGCTGCTGTCAGAGTAGGGTTTTGTATAATTATTTCATTGATATTAATCTCATCTCCTAAATTGTGAGCTCCCCACAGAAGTTACCTGATCCATGGTGGGTGTTAAAATAATATATGCTATATTATTAATAAGTAATGAGATGAGAGGGTGGGAGGAAGGGGAGGAGGAATGCAGAGAACAGCCAAAACACAACACAAAGGTGGAAAATCCTGACATACTAGGAACAAAATGAGTTGGCTATGTCTGAAGAATGCACTTGGACAAAGCCATCACCAGTCTTTATGGTCTCTTTGTGCCAGTGAGCAAAGGTATCCTTCTTCATGGCAGATATACTTCTTTGTTACAGGGTTATAGGTGTCAGCTGGAGATCAGGCTCATTTCTCTCTCCTCTCCTCCCCCCCCCCTCTCTCTCTCTCTCACACACACACACACACACACACACACACACACCTCATGGGTCCCTAGTCAGGTATGTCAATGCTTAGTCCTACACACTGGTGGCCCAGTGATTAAGAAGTAAGCAGGCATTGGCTCAGGGACCAGGTTCTTAGCTAAATTTGGGTCTTTACCATCATTTACCAGATAATTTCATCAGCCCCTCAGCTCATCCTTCTGCTTTCTGTCTCTCCTTTTCTAATTGCTTGCTATAGAAAAGTGATCTTCCTAAAAATAATATAAATCTTATGTATTGTCCAATTAAGATTCTCTATAGATGAAGTTTTCTATCAGGGCATAAGGACTTCCAAGAACTGCTACAATAACTCCAAGGATTTGAGTCCTCTTGTTCACTCCAGACAGAGTGTCCATGCCACCCAGTGGTTAAGGAGGAGTCTGGAAGACTGGCCTTCTGGAACAAAGTCTCAGCTCTGCCATTTGCTAACCTCATGAAATTGGGGGACATTGCTTTGGGGCTCTGCCCTAGTTTTCTCATCTACAAAATGGAGATGATAATTACAGCTATTTCTTAGGGTTGTGGTAAAGATGAGATGAGTTAATGCAAATAAAGAGTATTTTAAAAGGTGCCTGGCATGAAACTGAAGCACTTACTTCACATTAGTGATTATTCCTGCCATTAGGAGCAGGTGAGAGAAGACACAGGGAGTCATGACACTACAGAGCAATTCCATTTTGGAGCTAATATAACTTGCTGTCAGAGCAGAGAGCGGTAGCAGTTAATGCTACTGGGGGGAATTAGGAAAGGGAATTTCTGGATCTGGACTTTGGAGGATGGGAGTTTTCTCAAAGAAGTCGAAGAAGGTTTTGGAACAGCATGTGCTAAAATGTTAAGGAATAAAAGTTGGTAACAGTTTTCCCATAACATAGGAATGTTGCCTAATTTGTAAACATCAACCCTATGTCTTTAATTTCCCCTTATAAGTACTGTTTTGTTTTAGTCTCTTCTCTCTGAAGACAGAGCTGTGAGATTGATGAGGGATGGGAAAGCATGAGCATTTGGCCACACCATCAGTGCCTTTTGTTGTATCCACTAGGCACACATAGTCCTATTTGCCTTGATTTCCTCTTGAAATCCTTTGCAACACTATTGAGGGTTTTGCTGAGTGATGCTCAACTTCTAGAATAAAACAGGCTGTTAAGGGCTCACACAACCAGGCACAGTTCTGAACCAGTGGTGAATGAGGTTGGTAGAGAAGCCTGGCTGGTTCCTTGTCCTCAAATGGTATAACTCAGAGGCTTGTTTTCAACCATCTTGCAGAGTATTTGCTCATAGCTTTGTTTTACAGTAGTGGACCATAAGAACAGGGTTTTGGAATTCATTTGGAAGGAGATATAAGGACAGTGCTCAATAAATGTCTAAGGAAGGAGTAAAATTTAATTTTCCCTATATATTCACCTGTAGTTTTTGCCACCAAAGTAAATAATAATGGTCAGGATCAGCATTGATTTTGGAGTTATGAAGAACTGCTGCAGTCCAGAATTCTGCTGGCTAATGAGAGATAGGACTTTGAAGACTTTTCTAACCAGGCTGGCTCCATCTTCCAGGTCTCAGCTTTTAGAGTCTCTACAATCACAGGCATGTGCAATTCTGCCCAGCTCTAAGCTTAATTTTGATGCTACTTGCGTTGTGACGCTTCATTCTTTCGTCTTCAGTGACAGGGTGGGTATAAAGTTTTGACCCTTCTCAGCTTATGCTTCTGGTTTGATTCCTCAGTGATTTGAAGGTAGCAAGAGGGAAGGTGGGTTGGTGGCAGTTGACATGTAGCAGAAAGTGAGTCAGGTGTCAGCTGGAGTGGCAACAGCATCAACAGAAAAACATTGAAAAGTTGTTTTTCAGAGAATTGAAATGGATTTGCCATGAGCAATAAAAACATTAAACAGCAGCCTTGGCTTGTGAAAGGGCGGTGTTTAAAAACAAATAGTGCTCTTAAAAATACCACAAAGGAATGTTTTTTAAAGTGATTTGCAATTGAGCTTGGGCCACAAAAGCACTCAGTTTAACACAAGAGACCTACAGCTATGTCCCTGGGTGTGAGAGTTCCATCAGTCAGGAGCAGGCAGAAAGTGCTGGAAGCCTAGTCAAAAGCAGTGTCGGCTTTCCATTAACCTCAGAGGAGTGTCGCTGTACATTTCTGGCTGTAAGATGACTGTAATTTCTTCCTTTCTTCAGGGTGAAAAGTTGAGAACTTTAAAGGTTATATATAAATATAAATCCTAGAGACTTAAATTGAGGTAGTTACAGTTGGCTTTCATATTTCAAAATCAAATCTCAGCTTTAGCCCAGATTCACAAAGTAGAAATGTCAGACTTTTATTGTGGTCTTATATTAAATCTGCAACTTTCACTTACAGAGAGAAAGAAAAAAAATTCCACTTTTATATCTCACCTCCTGAATAGAATATAAAATCTTTGGTCCATCTCTTAGTCTGGTTTGTATGTAAATTTTACAGTTACAGATGTTGAGAATGGGAGAAGCCCCAGAAGTGGTTAGTGTAGCACTTGTTTTCTTCCAGCCCTGGTCAGAACTTGTCTGAATGGACTCTCCTAGAGGGCAGGTTCTAGCCCTACCTCTGCTACTTACCTCCTGGAATGGGGATCTGATGACCTTCTGAGATAGAGCATCTATCACTGGTCCAATTAGAAAGTTCTTCCTTTTATCAGCTAAACTAGACATCCTTGCAAATTCCAACCACATGCAAACTGAACAATATGAAAAGACTACAAGTGAATTATTTGCTTCAAAATGACATCCTCAGTATTTATGACTTCTTCCTAAAGGAATATACTTTATGAAACTGGACACTTGTTCTAGACTAATAACATTGACAATTTTAAAAACTTACATTTTGGGCTGGGAAGGTGGCTCAGTGGTAGAGTGCTTGCCTTGCACGTATGAGGCCCTAGGTTTGATTCCTCAGCACCACATAAACAGAAAAAGCCAGAAGTGGC